GCTGCATTGTAAAGTTGTCTTTAATTTAGTGGTAGCTGAGGTCATTACGTTTGATTTTCACAGAACATCTAAGACATTAGTAACGTGGTCATATCGGTCTAAATACATGAAAAAAATTAAAACAGTCTGAAGGCCACAGAACGTTCAATATATCAATATTTGTAAGTTAATAACACCAACGGTACCAACTGCACTGCACCATAGCACATTTTGACAATTAATGCATCTTCAGTAATGCTCAGAGCCAACACATTTGAAAATCTAAAACTTGATATAAACGTCGACCTGATAAAACCGTAAAGCCAATGCAATGTAGGTTTCCAGTAGAATGAGTCCCATAAAGTTCTCTTGGAATTAGATATCAATGATTTAATTTCTTTCGTAGACTCACTTGTGTTTGAAAGTGAAGTGTCAATGTCTGAATTACATACATAACAACTTTGTTCATGTTGTTAGGGGCATTTTCTGCAGCAAAAAGAAAAAAAAGCTTCACATCACGATAAGTGCTGCATGAGTATTTATATAAAGGATAAGTCCGTATTTTTCTTTGCTCTGTTTTAACTGTCTGTTAGTTTGCGTGTCTATAGCTTTTTACTACAAAAGACTTTTCATTTTATTCAAAGTTTAAAATTGGGTATTGAAGTTAACAATTAAACTAATTTCATTGAGTTATTATCAGGCCTTTACTTAACAATTCTGTCGCCTTAATTCTACAATACAATAATTCACCAGTAAATCAATTTAGTGCCTGGTTATTAGAGTATAAACACCTGGTTATTAACCGAACAACATGACAGATATTGCCACTGGCTAACTCCATTACCCTCACTCATCCCTGCTACTACAAGAGCCATCATTAAACCATCACAAAAGATTTAAACGGCAGAAACGGAGGGGAAGCAAATTAGAAAATCGATAGCTTCTTCTAAGATGTTAAGCCTACGTGCTTAAGCCGCAAACTGTAATGAGTTTTCTTTTTCTGATAACGTCGGAAAATAGCGTTATCCGTTGATGGAGACAGTAGGTTGTAAGGCTTGGTTTTCAATCATAGTCTTAATTTTTCATATTACTCCATTATAGTGAATTATGACGGCGAGGTCGGATCCTGGATTTGTTATTGGAATCTGTCGATGAATTGCAGTATATCATTAGAATCGATTTAGATCATCTACGAATAAACAGAGGTACTAAATGGGTTTCACTGGAAAATTTATTATCGATAGAAACTAGCATATCTAAAACTTATTTCAAACAAAATTTCAGCCTTTATTGTAATTATTTTTGAAAGATATATATTTTGATCATTATGATAAAAATCAACAAAACAAAAAGCTAATATGAGCATAACAGGGAACGAACAGATCTATTTATACTGAGGCAGACTTGAACAAACCTTTGTACCTTATTCTAGCTAAGGACAAACATAAAGCTTGTGATGCGCCGTATGAAAGTTAATTTTAGTAAATACGAGCATTCCACTTCTGCTTAATTTTGCAAATTGTATACGGTGGGTTAATGAGATAAACACTTTTTAACTGGACACAGATATGATGTAATACATCAACAGAACGTACTATATCACTGACGGCATGCAGTCTGCTGATATATGATGGAAAAGTATGAAATGATCCATTGATTATTAATCGATTTTCTACCAAAAAATACAAAATGATTTTTATATGCTTATAAATGGTTTGCAGTAATACAGCAATACACTTTGATATATATGAAAATTTGGTACGATAATTATAGCATTGGTAGTTTACTAATGATAAATTTAAGGCACTAGGTGTTTGGAAGGATGCACTCTTGAATACATACATAAATAATTCAATAATTCAATAGGGTACCTTTCATATATTTCATTGCAAAAGCTTTTACAAGAAGATAAGAATTTGCGATAAGGCTTTCAACACAATATAAATATAATGCTTAAAGTTTTAAAAATAACTATTTCTCTGAAAAAGTACGTTTAGAACAAGGAAAAAATGATGATTATTTCACAACTAATGAAACATTATTTAGACATGATGATATTTTTAAATTTCTTCTAGATACAAATAAACTTTGAATAATAACTTTAAATGTATTGCTTTAAATTTATGAAAACTCGTGGTCCTACATCCTGTCGATAGTATGTATTTATATTGTAGCATTTCAGAAGGTCGTGCTTTGCGCAGACTGTTTACGACCTTTTTACATTCAATCAGTTGGATGTGTACTGATTGGTATCTCTAGTCTGAGAAAAGATGATTTATCTAATAGTTGTTAAATGGCTTTCATTAAATCCGAGTATACTCTAATAAGATCGATATTTTATGTCTTTTGTATTTATGTTAGTTAATTGTTTTAAGTGGTTCGTGCCGATCTAGTGAGTCAAGTAACTTCCAATTGAGTTTTACAGTTTGTTCTTATGTTTTGCCGTAGGGTTATCCATAATTGCTCAAATCCACGTCTTTTCGGATTCTGTTTGATAATTGATTCTTTGGCAATCATATCACATCTTAGTTCATATCTACAAATGTACGTCTTTAATTTTTCACATTTTAAGGTAATCCCTGGTTTTATCGATATTTATCATATTTGTTTTACTGTCTAGTGTTTTGTAGACTTGTGTGGTATGTTTTTTTTTCTCTCAATCTACTTATGCCTCTGCTTACTCTATAGCTAATAAACCCTCAATGCATCTCTTAAATAATTATAAACTGCCAATATAAAAGTTGTACAGGTAACATTCTGTGTTTTAATTTCTGATGCATTAGGTCTAACCTTTTTCTTCCAAATGAGCTTTTACAATATGTAACTTACACCTGTATACATTTCTATATTGTTCATCATGTGAGTTGACCATGAATTTCCCTGTCTGTTTGGTTTAACAATTTCAGTAATTCAGTTGCCAATTCGGTTGTGATTACCTCAGCGAATTCTACTATTCAATGAATTTGTTTGTGAGTCTAGTAAAGTATTTGAGAGAGAAGAAATCAATTTGAACGCACATGCTTTGATTACAAGGATCTGACAACGCTCTATTCTTTTTTTGTTTTTGTTTTTAAGACCTTTCGAGATCCTCTGGTTTAGTGGTAATAATACAAATCGTCAAAAATTTGAAGGCAGGAATTTCATTGGCTTGTGAAATAATTAACAGAACAGAAAGTAAAACAGAATGTTGTCAGATCCCAATGTTAGCGAAGCGTGGCCACCGGAACTGTATTTTAATTGTTTTTAACGTTTCTAAGAATGAACAAATCTCACAAACAAACAAATAAACACGAAAAGAACGCTTAAAAAAGTTGATATTGACAGCAGTACGTTCCTTACAATGACAGAGGAGAAAGCGTCACATATAAATTAGGTCTTAACCTATGACAATTCGTTTATTATAAAGTAAATGCCAGAAAACAAATGAACAGTAAATAGATATAAGAAGATGTGGTATGAGTGCCAATGAGACAACTCTCCATCCAAGTCAAAATTGATAAAAGTAAACCATTATAGGTCACAGTACGGTCTTCAACACGGAGCCTTGGCTCACACCGAACAGTAAGCTATAAAGGGCCCCAAAAATTACTAGTGTAAAACCATTCAAACGGGAAAACCAACGGTCTAATCTATATAAAAACAAGAAACGAGAAACACTTATGAACCACATCAACAAACGACAACTACTGAACATCAGATTCCTGACTTAGGGCAGGTGCAAACAAATGCAGCGAGTTTAAACGTTTTAATGGTACCAAACCTTCACCTTTTTTCTGAAACAACAGTGCAACATCACAACATAGAAAGACACACTATAAAATATCAACTGAAATAGCTTAACTAAATCAAAGGACATATTAACACCATTGAACATACACTGAACAAATAAATTTGACCTATGATACAATGTAAATACAAAATAAATAAACTAAGGGAAGAATAATAAAAGCAACATGTTATATCGGTATGAAATGTTAAACAATTAAAGAAAAACAATATGCTCGAACAAAAATATCAGACATTTGCAATAACTTTAAACACAGGTAAATGAAAAAAAAATTTGTTGTTAGGTATACGTGTACAGTTCCAATAGAGAAAGGAAATATTTTTACAAAATAAATAATTTTGATGTTCATAGTACGAAGTGTAAATTTATAGTAATACCAAACACTTATCAAAGCTGGTATATAGACCAGTAAAGCATTACGATATGTGGTCTTTTGTTTTAAAAAAAACAGGGTCATTCTTCTGAATGGGACAAAAAGTGGACCATCCTTTAAATTTAAGACTACACGCATATGTACAAAGAATGTTTTAAATATATTGCAGTTGTTTCGATCTTTGTATTGTACAATTTAGGAAAAGAGTTTGATTGCTAGATGTCTTGTGAATATTTGTTGGGTTTCCTTATCTCATAACAATATTATGTCTCCATGGAACATCTTCCCCTGGTCGCATTGTCATATTTTGATGTTCAGGAAATCGCAAAAGTTTATGCCAAAACCATCATAAGATCATATCATAATGATTACATGTACTAGTTTATGTGACGGCAACTTTATGGTGTACTAAGTTTCTAGATGTGACCGCAACGTCATGGTATAGTAAGTTTCTAGTTAATGTGACAGCAACTTCAATGGTAAATAAGAGGTAACAGTAGAATACCGATGTTCAAATCTAATAAATGTAGTATGAATATACTAATCAAGGTAAAAAAAACTGAGGGAATTGCATGAATTCCAAAAGAAGTAAATGACTATAATCCCAATCGTAACCTATAAAGCTACTAGGAAACATATGAACGGATAGACAGACATACAGACAGACTAATACGGCCCGGAAAAACACAATGCACACTACTATCGTAGTTGGGCATAACAATCCGAAACAGGCTTATTTTACCAATATAAGGAATGTTCTTTAAACCGAACGATTAAGGTTTGTACCAGATTGCAAATAATATAGGTTTTTCTAGACGTACTCAATAAGAATATGAATACAAATAGACAAGAACAAACAAATATAAAGGAATTGAATTTTACTTAAATTATCACTCTCAATTACATATGATGGTACCAATTCCATAATACAAAATGTAATGAGCAAATATTATACTAAAGCATGTAATATTTTAATGACGACTATATAAAAAGATCCTTCACATATGGACTGCTAAATCCGTTTGTCTCTATAAATTCAAGTTGATTGACATTTAGGCAGAAGAAATAAAACCGTTCTTATTATAAAATCGATTTTTAATTCCTTTGTTTACGTAAACGCTCAGTCAAGACATTTTACGGCTGTACATAAAACAGAAACGCAGAAGTGATGAAAATTACATGTCTGTTAGTAAAACTAATTACAAAATGATACAATGTTGAAGTTATTTCAGAAAGGCCAACTGCGTTGCAAACTTTGTATTATTAGGAAAAATTCTCCTGATATGTAACTTGTTATTTGTGTACATGCACCATTAATATGAAACCTAAGTCTTGTGATAAAAACATAAAAATAACGATGACTTAAAGGATTAACACATAATCTTTTAATCTAGATCAATTGAGTAAATATTTATGGATCTGACCACATGACAGTATTCTTAAGTATATTGGATATCCTTTTTCAAAACTACTTGAAACTATTTATTTTTGCGTCTTAAATGTTAATATTTACATTGACAACTGCATATATGAATATGTACCAATTCTATTTTGTACTTGGGCATATGCACACACTTTGTAATTCAAAAAGAACTATTGTATGTACAATTTCAGCTTGTAGGGTTATTTATATACATCATACGAATGAAAAGAAAAATTAACAGCTATGCAAACAACATGCAACTGTTGTTTGAGGTTGATTTACGAAAATATACGAAAACTTTTTAATCAAGTCCCGCGGCCTGCAAAATAATCACAACTCAAGAAAACAATGCTTCGTCCCCTTCAGATCTGTACGTTGCTCCATCGCCGAACGTCTTCAATTGATCATAATCAGGTGGTCCTTGGGCATACTGAAAAAGAAATAAAATAATATACTGTCTGATTAAAACATAATTATGTCAAATTTCTGTTTATTTTTGTCAAAATTTGAATTTTTTTTTTAATTGATAGTTTAAACAATATATTTCAAACATATTTACCTGAATGGAACTTCATCGGATAAGTATAATATAATAAATACTAGCTTCTGTAGTCATTCGAGAAGCAAAATAAATTGAAAGAATACACAACCCATTCATAGTTTAAAATACAAAATGATATAATAGTCACAATAATAATAATAATAATATGTTCGGGACATATTATTTGAATGTGGTAAGCAAATATGTTGGTGGTTAAAGATTTTTTTTTATGTATTACATTACTGTTTCTATGCATGATAAAATCGCATAAATAATCAACAAATGTCAAATTTGGAACTGACTTTCAAATTTCAGATTCATAATTTTACGGTTTATTCATAGTCATCAATAAATCGAATGAGAAGTATAATGTTAAAAATGCAAACTTTGTATTTTGTTTATATTATTTAAATTATAACATGTATGAATGTGAAATAATTGAAATACTGATACAAATACACACAAATGCAGTTGCATGTTGCTAACAGAATTGACATTCATTATAATTTCCAGTTTTCACGTTTTAAATATCTACCAATTAATAATATAACCACATGCTTCTGATAATGCCATTGCACACACTGAGTATGTCAGGACTGAACTTTAGTAGCTAGGTTCGAAACCGAAAGTTCGGATAGACAACTTATAACGTCTGGTAGCATCAAAGCCAAAGAGGGCTTATCCACTGTCAAATCAGCCACACATGTCCATTGTTATTCTGTAGTTTACATGTTGTACTGTACTATTATATTATTTATTTATGTATTTCTCTGTCCTGAGTGTTTTTGCGTTTATTTGTACTGTATTCCTGTCACGTAATGTTGTCATTTTAGCGGTATTTTTAACATTGCCATATAAGCGGGAGGTTTGGCTATCAACAAAACTAGGTTCAACCCACCATTTTTTCTTAAAATGTCCTGTACCAAGTCAGAAATATTGCAGTTGTTATCAACTAGTCTGTTTCTATGCATGTTGTTTTTGTTGCAGTTCAGTGTTTTTGTTTTTCCGCTGTTTTCCTCTTATAGTTGATCTGTTTCCCTCGGTTTTGGTTTGAGACCCGGGTTTGATTTCGCTTAATCTTTTTATTACCATTGAACAGCGGTATACTACTGTTGCCTTTATTTACATGATTGATTAATGAAAATAACATTATACGGTACCAAATTGACTGCAACGGTTGATTATTTCGACAAATGATTTCTTTTCATTGATGCAAAACCAAATACAAACATAGAAGATCAGATATTACCAAAAAAAGGACCAAAAGTAGAGCCAAACCAAGAGAAGAACTCAAAAGTATGCATGAGGTAGTCACATTTCTTAATTTCAAATTATTTCGTAAGTTTTATAACTGTTGGAGCACATTTAACAACACAAATTTCCAAACACAAAGAATCCTTTGAATCATGCCATAATGAAGCACTTGTACTAAATTAATGAGACTGTAGTTTACCTATGTCCAAATTTCGTAAATAGATTTAGAAGAGACAAATCAAGGTATCAAACAAAAGATAAGGGAATCCCTAAAAGGGGTGAGACCGGTTGTTCAAATAATCACGTTTGGTCCCTGAATGGGTTATTAGTAGGTTACAACGAAATCATTTTAATTCAAGGAATGCATTTCTCTCATGTATAGCTCTGATTCCTTGTTCTTGTTTGGAGTTACGCTTGGTCCTTTTGGATTTATCAGCTTTTCTAGATTTTGAAATTTCGAATATTTTGGCCTTGAACGTCACTGAAAATATTTAACTGTCGAAATGCGCATCAGGTGCACTAAAATTGGTATCGCAAATGTTCTAGTAAGAAGTTTCTGTACTACCTGTGTAATTGTCATCATTCGTTGGTTTTAAAGTCGCAAATATGACGTAACTAAACGCCGTTAAATATATGGTCAACAGATACACAAGGTATTTCTCTTTCTGTGGTCACTACAAGTCACCGGAGCATCACAACATGTGCCGTATTTGTTTTAATTATGTCTTTTTATTACGATGGTGTCTTCTGTTGATAAATTGATCGCCGACTTTGTTTCTTTTAAAACATTTTACACAATCATTTTGTAAATCTTAATCAATAAATAATTTCAGTTTATTTCATTTGAACCTACCCCAGAATTATCAATTTCAGAGTATCCTGCAGCCTTCAAAACTTCTAGTGGATTTTTCTTCTCTATTTTAACCGTCGATTTTACTGTAGATTTGTACCTCTAAAAACAAATATCTAAACAGTTATGATATCATTTAAATATCGAAAACCAAATTAGGCATGCAAGTACATTGTAATTTACATGTCTATTCTAAATACATGGCTTTGCATATTCAACAGAATGTAGAATAAGGATGGAAGTAACGTACATGAAAACTTTTCGAAGTTGCTATTGTCCCATTTTGTAATAGCAAATGGTATAGAGATCATCTGTACGAACAGATAAGAAAAGTCGAGAAATTATATGAATTAATTGCAGTTTCATGGTATTTAGATAAAAGTAGCTATCATCCCCACGAAGAAGAAAAAAAGAAATTGACATTTGTTCGACGTATAGATGAGGCAAAATAGTGAAAGAATTTAAATTAAAAGTATTTTCACAATCTAATTAAATGAAGTTTTAAACAATCATTTTAAACCGGTTTAACAAAGTGTTGTGTATTGAAATATGATATGAACTCACTTGTTTATGTTTCTTTCTAATGCTGTGAATAATAAACTCAAAAAGAGCAACACACATTGATATTACTAATCCACCAATTAGGATATGGAATATACCAGAAACATTACTCAAGGTCAATGCGCTTTTTGTATTATCCTGAAATATATACACATGTTTATTTACTTCATTAAATCATGTTTGAGGTCCGTACTAAGTATTTTCAGATTTTTAGTAAAAAAAACTGAGAGAGATTGAACCATATCGTGAGTCAATATAACAAAAACGATTATGTAAAACATTCGTAACGAAAACTTTATTAGAAGGGACGTTAAATGTTGTCATTCAAATACCGATTAACTTATGTTGGTTAAGGATATCCTTCAATACAAACTTTCACTAAAACATGTCAAAAAAATGGCGACATTCTATTAGAAGATATAAATTATACATTCTATCATTTGCATTCGAGATTAAAAGTTTTTGCGTTAAAGGAAAAAAAATTACTGCTAAGATATCTTCATATATGAGCGACGAATATAACATTTCCAAAAGAGAAACTTTCCTACAAAGATATTGCAATGAGTAAAATACATTAAGAGGAAAGGTTGTTCAAATATGTCTTTATGACATCACGAAATCAGTTCTACGCTGAAATGACCAGACAATATTAATATATTCATGTATCAATCAAATTAACATTATTTTTAAAGAAAGAAGAATTCTAAAAAGTTTGCCATTGTGATGTTTGCAAATTAAATTGCCTGTTCTAACGCCACATCGTTTTGTTTTCATAGAAAGTCTTCCACAGTGCGATCGTGATTTAGGAACGTGCTTATTCAAATTGATGTTATTTCCTGATTCATGTTATTTTTCTTTCAAATTAAACGGTTTACTCCAATAACCCTTACAAATTTACAATAAAAAAAGTTATATCTTCATTCAATCTGTTGAACCCATATTGTTGATAAATAAAGAAATTAGTTAGAAAAACTAGAGTTTTAAGTCCTTTTGGCAAAAAATGACATAAGACGGCTGTGGATATTCCCTTAGGCCATTTAGGTCTTGGAGTATACAAGTATTTAAACATCCTTGACTATTAAATTTTCGGGTTTGAGCGTTCTTGATGAAGGTTAATCCACAAAATGTTTAAAGTATTGTTGTTATTTTGAGAACAAAATGACCTCTAAAATCATATGACGATAACAATAATAATAATAATCAGGGCACACACTTTTCCATTTTTCTGTCTGAATCTTGTCAATTTTTGTATGACTGAACATACCTAATTAATGTGATCATTGTGTGACACACCATTATTTTCTATTGTTGATGGCAAAGCAACATTTTAAAAGGATCATTTTAAAAATAAATACAAAGATCTTCCACAAAAACTTAGCAAGATAGTAACATTTTTCTAAAGATAATGTAATCTCGAAACCTTACATACACACACTTATGATTGAAAGTTGAATATTGCAATAAATGGTACATAAATGTTTGATTTTAAACGACGTCAAGAATTTTTAATTAGTCAATTAAAGGATGACTGTACTGTTACTTTACGCCAGTCAGCAAATATGTGATCCATATCTAGGAGGATAGCATGTTAAAGTGCCCTGATTGAAATCTGCTTTATATTCAACCGAAACACTGATTCATGACAACTGTTTAATGATGTTTAACGAGTTAGCTCACAAGGCAATATTCTGCTGACAGATTTGATTCATGACGTTTCGACAACAAACATGACCACATTTAATTAATTCAATTATATTTAACAGTTACAACAATAAAAAAAACGTTTAAGGCTTAAACAAATCATAGAACCTAGATACCTATAATAAATACAAAATAAAACAACTGCGTTTTTTAATGCTGACTTATTTTAAATAATAACTGAGTACCATGTGACTTCAATAATGTATCGTAATGTCTAAATTACCCAAAACAAGTAAAAATATATATGTATATACATGTAATTATTATCTTAGTACCGTTAAGTCTTAAATGATTCGTAATTCCCCAGTAAAGCAAATTGTAATTATCTCCCTTTAAATACACATGGTTTTATAAATGAATGAGAAACACTACTGGATATTTGATTATAAAATGAATACAAATAGTGGGTAGGTCTCGGAAATATAACATAGCAAAATTTAAGAAGTGAAGTTCGTACACTTTTTATTAGGTTTTGTTCTGTAGCTCAAGCGAAGCACACAAACGGAAAACAATTTTTATAGCAATACAACAAATGTCAGTTAATAACACTATCCCAAAACTAAAGACTTGACCTAAATCAAAACTTCCTCTTCTGACGTACCTTTGTGTCTGAGCCACATTCACCTTTGTCGTACCACCAACGTTGTTCCAATCTGTACATCACACCTTCTTGATTCAACTTTAATATGACTAAAGTCAGATTTTTTCTGAAGTTATAACGTTACAGTCAAGATAATACATAGTCTAATTACAATACATTTAAATTATTCGATCTCGATCTCATATGAGAGAGAGCGAGAGAACAACACTAGATAACCTAGCAAAATATTTCTTGCATGTTTCTCTACTAAATTTGAATGATTTTTCTCAATAAAAATAACACTTATATAAATTATCGCATTGGAAGCGCTTTTATGGATTAACCTTGATCAGGAACACTCACCCCCCCCCCCCCCCCCGCCCCCCACTCCCCAACCCTCACTCAAACAAAATATATTTGTATTCTTTTACCTTAGTTACAAAAATTACTAAAACAGAAATAATTATAAAAACCTGAGTTCAGAAAGTTCAAATTGTGTAGCTATTCCATATCCTTTGTTGACTAAATTTTCTCCAACCTTCATTGTATTGCACGGTTTCTTCTGATTTTCATACTGGTTCCTAGGAGATTCTAACAGGTAGGCATAGTCGTGTTTTGAATCTCTTACTTTTTGAACTCCTATTTCATCCTTGTCTACCATTACACTGTCGTAGTTAGCAAGCATGTATTTCCACATATTAGAAAAAGTTGTAACTTTTGATTGCTGAAAATATATATTTATCACAATTATAATTATCAATTTCTGTAAACGCGGTTTCTTAACATTTAATGCAAGAAGAACAGTGTGCGGTCAGACAAAAAAAACCAGAAATTTAACAGAAAATTATAAATATAAAAGTTGTAAATATAACGGAATTTGATGAGACTGTCGTACAAGTGAGAGGTTTGGCGCTATAAAACCAGGTTCAATCCACCATTTTCTATATTTGAAAATGCCTGTACCAAGCCAGGAATATGACAGTTGTTGTCCATTCGTTTGATGTGTTTTGTCATTTGATTTTGCGATGTGATTAGGGACTTTCCGATTGAATTTTCTTCGGAGTTCAGTATTTTTGTGATTTTACTTTTTATACAGTTATAATGTTAAACAGTCAAAAGAAAATAAAACAAATACCATGACAAAAAAAGTGTAATAAAAGGTGGAACATATCAAAGGGGCAATCAATATTCACAAGTCAAAGAAAAACCATCAACATCAAGGCAAAAACGACGAAATGGCACACAACGGTCTACAAAACAATTAACAGATGTTTCAAGACTGGGCATTATGAAACTCGCACAAAAACCCCATAAACTCTTTGACCACTAGAATCCTTAAGCTTTGGTTCAATATCTTTATTGTAAGTAGCAACCAGCTATCAATTATAATTGATTGGAGACGTAAGCTTTGGAATATTGTATCAACTAGTGTATATAAACATGCAGGCGCTGCTGATAGTTGCTTAATAGTAAAGTAAAGTTCACAACTGTTATGCTCAAAACAACTCTTTTTTCGTAAGGTTTTGATCTTAAACGACCATCACTGTCAATCTCTAGATGTAAGTCAATATATGAGGCTGACTTAACGATATATGTGGTACCTTTAATTTCAAATTTGATATTTCAACGAGCTCACAAACCTCCCCTTTTGAATATTTAGATCATAGATTATAAAGATAAAACAGGCGATTACAAGCTGCAAACTGCAGCCACCAACAGGAGGGACTCTAGAAAAATAAATTGGAAAGCATCGTTTACACTTGCTACTAAAAAGTCACGATTGATGATTGATTACTGTCACTTAAGAAACAAATAATCCTGTTTGATAAAGTCTCATTATAAAACAACTGAGTTGACATTCTCTAAAACAACAAATTGAATCCGTTCCACTTGGATGATTACACATGCCAGGTAGTTCTGCATCATGATACACGTTGGTTATCTACATTTGAATAAAATCAATCACAAATAGTGGCCGTCTTTAAGAGTCACTTAACAGTGAGCGTTTGATTCATGTTGAATGCCTCCTTTGCTTAGTGTTATGCCAAGAGCAGGTAGGAATTTGTCTGATGAATTGATATCGTGTCAAATGCAAACAAAACCAATGAAAACTAAAAAACTGACATGTCTAATAGGCCATGTTTGCACATTTTTATGTAAGTAACAGAATATTTAATTGAAATTGATGTATAATTCGTGCATGGGGTATACATTTTCGTCAATTTCGACACCAAGAAATAAGCCAGGATATGTTATTTTAAAAGATTAAGTTTCTTTAGAATCCGAGATCTATGAATTTTGTAAGTAATTTGACAGCTATTTTAAAAAATAATCGACAGATAATAATTGACACAGGGAACCATTTTAGAATAGCATATTATGCTTTTGCATCAATTAGTACAGAAAGATGTTTTTGTAATATTGTAATTTTTTTACAAAAAAGCAAGTGTTGGTCAACTAATCCTACAGAGCCTTTAACTAGTTTCTTTTCCACTTTCAATTTTTGGATCGAAAAATTTCTTCGTATTTCTTTCAACTTACTTCAATTAATTTGCATTAATTGTCTTCACAGTTTCATTGTTTGACTTTTACATGGTGTACCTGTTTACAAAGGAGTAGGTCCGGTAAAGGCCGATTTTGGCCTCAAAATTCAGGTTCATCTGATGAAAGATTTTGGACACTTTTTAAACACTTAAGTGTCTACTTCAGTCGATTCAATTAGTTTATGTAAAAGATTTTAACTGATGTAGTCATTAAAGACGCTCAAATTCGAGCTTAAATTTGAAAAATGTCACTTTTCAGATGGTTTTTGTCAAAAAAGAAAGTGGCCGCATCCGTGTTCATATTCTCAACCTTTATATATGTTATGTATTATCATCAAATACAACTTACATTTAAATATTAAGAATGAATACAAATGCGGCCACTTCCATTTCAGACGGAAACCGTCTAAAAATTAAGCAAAATGCTAGAATTTCGAAGATTTCAGTAATTTAGCATTACTTAATGATGCTAGTACCCGATACATGTGTATTGTATTGTCAAAAACAGCCCATATTTATGTAACAGGAGTATTCTTCTTTCCAATAAATAGCTAAAAATTTACATTTTAACAATTTTGTAAAACTGCTATATTTTGGGGCCAAAAAGGGGTCTTACTGGGCCTACTTCTTTTCACATAAACGGAAAATGTAGTTAACACCCGACTCAAAACACACAGCCCGTAACATTGAAAGGCAATGAAACATCACAATGGACACAAAAAGACAGTAAAGCCACAATTTGTGGTAGGGATTAACAATCTTATGTGTACAACTACACCTCCCTCTTCCTTTTCCACATTTTCCTTCTATTTTTAACCATTTATTTTGTTTTTTCTTATACTTCATTTTTATAAACTAGTATGGCATGCACACTCTTAGATAAGGAGTCATACCTCAAAAAACTTCTCAGTTGCACCACCCTTGTATGCACCATACTTAATTTTAGTCTGTCCTACTAAATCATCAGCACCTCGAATAGGTGTCAGTAATCGCTCAATAGTTAGAAAGGCTGCTAAATTGGCAGTATAGGAAGATATAAGAATAAGTGTAAAAAACCACCATGCACTTCCAACTACTCGACCGGAAATGGACCTGCAAAAAAGTTATAAAATTCATTTAAGTTATTATTCATTTACAAACTTGTGAACATTGTCCCGCATAAAAGAAAGATACAAGTTTTAGTGAAAGACGCAAGAATATTTGAATGAAACTAAAGTCCTCCTTCAGGAATACAATTGAATGCATGTGTTCTAGAAAATAAACCTTTTCTTTACATTAAACATGCCTAGTTTTATGGAGGGTCTGGATTGGGTTTACAGAATAAAACATAATTGGCCAAGAGTACAGAAATAACCAAACAAATAAGAAGGAACAGATAAAAATAGACCAAAAACAAACAATAAAGAATAATGTGGTGCTACTTTATAAAACAAAAGAATTATGGGCAAAAAAAAAGAGGAAAATGGACTGAAAAAAATATAGAGTACACCCCCGGACTCTCTTTAAATAAAATGTTAACATAATACTTACCTTGTTATTTCGTCGTTTAAATACAAACAGAAAAAAATGTTTGCATTATTCGTTATGATATGCATCCAGACTTTGATATTTGCCCAAGGTTGGTTTTATTTGGCAAAGGCAAGATCAATAACTTAGATGCACTTTTTAAAGGGGTCTGGGGTGTGTTGTGTTTCCGGGGTTCTTTATAGCATCACTGATGAAATATTATTGTAGATATCAGAAATAAGTAAAATGATTTCATACAAAATGAGGAAAAGGGTAGATTAAGTTGATAACAAGATTAACAATTATATGCTATTTTGTTATATGTACATCGATTTTATCATCAAAGAGAATGTAATAAACATGTGAACAGAATACGTTCTATTCAAAATGTTCTCAACAAAATTACGCTCAGAATAATTTGGTTGAGCAAAATCACAAATAATTATTACTCTAAATTAAGTTTGTTCTCAATTTTTAATTTTAACAAACCGAAAGGTCAAATTTCTATTCAGAACGGTTTTCACTTTTCGCGTTTTATGCGAAGATCAAATATAAATTTGCTTTGTTTGGCGCCCTGGCTAATCATGATTTTTGCTTAATATGCATTTTAGTATATGTTTTTCCATCGTTCATCCGAGTCCTACATTAAAATCAGGGAATTTGATTTTCTAGAGGTATTTTCAATTATTCGCTGCAAATCGTTGAGAATGGTACTTGTTTTTTAGCATTGATGAACAAAGGAGACTTAATAATAGGTTCATTTGAACTAAAATAACATGCATTCTAATTGCATAGTTATGGTATTTGATCAATCGGTCAATTTGTTTATAAATACAATGTCAGTATAATTCTCGAGTTAAGTATATAAAGTCAGATTTAGTTTTTATGGATATCAGATTACAAATGTATCGGTAATACCATTGCCAAATATGGGAAAAAGAGAGGTTGATTGATTCAAGTTGAAGTACAATCCTGCCTTTCTGCCTTTTCCTGTACATCCATGTTGTCTATCAGGATGAGATTGCGGTGCGAATGTTCGGAATTATAAAACTTGATAGAAAGTGTATGTGGTAAAAAGTGAAAATATGCAATAAAAAGTGCGTGGAAATTGTTGGAGGTGGTGTAAAAATTGTGAAAAGAAAGGGCGGACATTTAGAGGTCTACAAGAAAAATTGCATACCAACTGCTTATCTTACATTATTCTGGAAAATAAAATGCGCTTAAGATATAATGTGAAATAAATAATCATTCCTTTACTGTGTAGTCAAACGCAAACCAGATTCATATCCATGCAACGTTTGCATTAATTAATACAATCAAAAGAACTGCAAAACTTTAAATGTAACGTATACATATGTCTCGCACAATATTTCAAAAGTATGTTACAGTGAGTGTTTTTTATTTAGCTTTCAATATCAAAATGACAAAAATCATGCAATGCTGGTCAAATGTATGAGGTTTGAATAGCAATTCATTGAACGGCGTATTACACAAAAACAATGTATACAGAATTCTAAGTGATTAATACTACAAATTATCGAAAAAAAACTGCAGAAAGGTTGAATAACATTATTCAATAAAAAAAAATAAGATATTCACCATCATGAGTATCATGCATATAAAACAATAATTCCAAATCAAATGATAATGACATCACACCATGCTTTGTTACAACAACATATTTTAAGTGATATGATAAAAAGGGAAGATATATATAAACATATTCATATTTATATGCATCTATATATATGCAGACAATATGGAGCTGTAATGTTTATACGCATGTATAACCATCTGATATATCGAGACCAACCTTGGGAATATATCAGATCCCTGCTGCATTAATGCCCCCAAAGCAAACCATAAAGTGTTAGAAAAAGTAAATGCATTCGATTGATCTCTTGAATTTAGGATTTCTCTCCACTCATATGGGCTCCAACGTCCGACAAAGAATAAAACGAGGCTGACTGCTAGAAAGCCAACCATCACACATATCCATACTTTAACATCTAAAGGATCCATAAAAGAGAATACGCCTGGTTTTTGTTTATCTGGTTTCTTAATCATTATACTAATGCCCATTTGCATGAAAGGAGTTGTAAAATCAACAACTCTTTGTCTATCTTCTGTTATTGTGAGTGATGACAAGGCTAAGTCTGTTTCCTAAAATGAAAAGAGTTCGTGTCTACTTTTGACTCTTTGTATACGATATCAGGACGTTAACGCTACATTCTATACGTGTTAAATGACAATGAAATTAAAGAAAAGACAAAAAAGCGACAATAAAATCACTAGTTCTTAATTATTGAAAGACACCTGAATCACAATCTGAAATCTTATTGAAAATATAATTTTATACACTAAGAATATTTTACTATTGAATAAATACCAGCTGTCTTATAGAAAGATAAATGAGTGCCGCATGCATGACTTCTGTGACCTAGCAGTAGATTTTAACTCTTCCGGGGCACCTGAGATCACCTTCGGCTTTTCTTTGCTCGGTCTTTAGTTTTCTATGAAGTAATGTATAGTCTGTTGTTTGTATTTGTGTCATTTTTTCTTCTTTTTTTTTTGTCATGGCGTTTTGGGTTGTTTATCTTCGAGCTATTTGTTTGAATATCCCTTTGGTATCTTGCTCCGCTCGTCTATGACAGTAAAAATACATGTGTCACTGATGACTTATAATTGTTTTTATTGACCTAGCGAGAAACCTATCTTCCTTTTCCATTTTAGAACCAACATGTACAAGTGAAACTAATGTCATGATTGATGGTTCGGTCTACTTACCTTGCGTGAACACCACAGAACTCAATCGCGGTTTATATAGGGATTTGTGTTGCTCAATTATTATTTTTGTCATTGAGTATAACAGATCTCAATCGCGGTTTGTATGGGGACCTGCATTGCTCAATTATTAGTACTCACGTATAATAGTTTTACATTTTCGTCTTATTTCGATTTGCTGGAATGTTATGAACCATTAATTAAATTCAAGCTGTTTGTTCAGTGTTTGCTTTTGTTGTCTCTATCTTGTATTGTGAAATTTCCTGCGACACAGTGACATTGCTACTCTTATATCTAACTTATACTGTTATGATTCGAGATCAACTGATCAGTAGTATGTAGACAAAACGCTTCTACGAAACAAATTATACGCCTGGTATATTTGATGAGTTTTAATAACCACTGTGCCGATGCCACTGATGGTGGACGTTTCGTCCATGAGGGTATCACCTGCCTAGTAGTCAGCTCTTGTACTGACTTGACATATCATTGATATGTTCATTTTCTGTAAATTTACTGTTTGTAAACTGTTTAACTATTCGAAAGACTAAGGTTTTTAGATTACCTCGGCCGTTTTTGGTAGAACTTTTCGGAATTTTGAGGTTTTAATGTTATTCAACTTTGTTTTTGATTTGGCCATCCAACTGTTTTCATTCGAGCACCACTGATGAATCATATAATATAATTTGTTATATATATAAACGAAACCATATTATAAGCCTAGTAACTTTCATTAGTTTTCACATCTTATCAAGTCAGTATGAACATTGTCTTAAACAATGCAGTTTAACAAGGATCTCTAAATTCTTTGGGAAAAAAAGTCTTTTTGTTCCATTTTGTCTTCTTTATTTGTACTCAATATGGCTTTTCTGTAAAAGATTAGCTTTAATTACCAAACTATCCCTATTATATGATAGGATAAATTTCATTGAAGTACGTCAACTCAACATATCGTTAACGTAAACCTATTCCAATTGTATTTATCCTACGTTTACTTACATTTCGAATCAATTCACCGACCATACCATTCCATGTAAAATCTTTCTGGCATTTCCCAAATTCATTGTCTTTCACAAAATGAAACTTAAAATTAAAGTCTGTTTTGTGTTCTATAAGGTATCGTTCCTTTACTTGTTGTATTAGTTCTATACAGTACCCCTCGTATAATTTACCATCAATCTCTATAACACCATCTGTACGTTTATCTGTATGGGGTGAGGTCACAATTTGGACAAATGGTTTTGACTGAAAGAGAGAACATTTTTATATCCAGTATGTAAAAACTGAGGAGAAGTATGATCTACAAGACTGGAGTATGACAAGAGCCTTTGAAAATGAAAATAACAAGTATTAATATTACTGTGTTAATTTGATAGTGAAATGTAATTTGGGCATTTTTGTCGGTTGTGTGTGTTGTCACTATATATATATATATGGCAAAATAAAAGTGTTAAAATTGACATATTTGATCTTTATAATGACCATTTATCACTTAGTGAAAAAATTATCACTCAGTCTTTAGTTTTCTATGTTGTGTGTTGTCAACTGTTGTTTGTCTGTTTGTCTGTTGGTCTTTTTCTTTTTTAGCCATGGACATGTGAGTTTAAATGTTGGTATCTTTCGCCTTTCTTTTAGTGCATTGCATCTTTTTTGAATAAGGTTAAAATTTTCATATAGTTTGGCCTCGAAGATCCCCAAGGAGATATTTGGTGTCAAAATGTGCCTCTGGTGCACTAAAATTGGTACCGTTGATGTTAGTGCATTGCACAATTCAGCTACTATTCAGCCACTTATTTGACTAAAAGGTATATATCCACATTTTTTCGTGTCTATGGTGAGTCTATCGGTCACAGTCTTGCCTATCCTTTGCCCTGAAAACTCGTATTTCAATTTCAAAATTTAACATTCGGTCAAGTTTAAAGGTTAGAGAATTCCCATGACTGTTCATTACGAATTTGGTGATGTCTCAGGGTTATATCAGAGTCAAGTACCTATCTGTTGTTGTGTGGGGCCTAATCACTTGATTTAAATTGTCAAAGTATCTTAAGGGAGTAACACGACGGTTGCCACAAATCCAGAGCGGAATCTGCTAGCATCTCCGGGGAACCTGAGATTCTCCGATTTTTGGTGGGGTTCGTGTTGCTCAGTCTTAGTTAGTTCTCTCTATGTTTTGTTTTGTAGACTATTAATCTTTTCGTCGTTTTTCTTTTTCTGTCATGGCGTTGTCAATTTCATATCGACTTATGAGTATGAATATCCCTTAGGTGTCTCCCGCATCTTTTGTAGCATACTATATTTTTGCACCCCATCATTTTCAAATCCTTTTTTAATAGTTTTCTCAATTTTTTTTTATATATTTTGCCCATTATTCTCTATTCTGTATACCCAATCCGGACTCTCGTATAACTTAAGCAACCAAGTTGTGAACTATTTCAGAGGCATTATATTATAAAGTATACGTACTATTTTGGTTGCAATTCTCCATGTCCTATTTGCATGGGTCAAAGATCTGTCCATTGGCATACGAGAGGGAATATTTGTCTCAAATCTTTTCCCTGAAGGTCTATTAGGTGACCAATCTCCAATCTTAAAAAAAATTACTATTGGTCAAAGGTTTCTTTATGTTTCATTCTATTTGTGCTCACTAACTTTAATTTATCAGTTTGATGATATTTACATTCTTTGTGCAGTAGTAGTTTCCTAACTCATATTTTATTTTGACATTTTTGAATATATTAAAGGCTGATATCTAAGTTAATTCGATTTGTTTTTTCTTTGTTATTTGTTTTATCATCTTGTCCGTTTTTCTATCTTCTACCATAATTTGACCGATTTTTTTTTACGAATGTGAAGCTTGTAAATTATTTTGAAATTATAACAATAAATTTGAATCACATTAAAACACAAGGAAAGAAAAAGAAATATCAGCACCTTTGTCAGTTTAGACTTGTATCCCATTTGGTGTACTTCTAAAGTGTAATCTTTCCGCAGCCCATTTGAATCGAACGCTACTTTTCCCGTTAAACCTGCCGGTAGTTCAACCTAAAAAAAAGTGATCACTACTAACATGTAATTTGCCTCATAAAAATGAAGTATTTGTCCGTTTACATGACCATAACGGAAATAGATAGATAAGTTATGATCTTAGTGGATAATTACATAATTTTCACCAGAATTGAGAAAACTAGTACAAAATATAGTATTCCAAAATTACGACTTACGCTAATGAAAACGAAATTTGCATTATTAATTATGAATAAAATTTACACATTATTATTTTCGTGCTTCTAAAGCGCTTTTCTTGATTTATATTCATCAGACACGCTCAGTCCAAAACATTTGAAAGCCAATAATTTATAAGACCTAAACCAGTGAAGAGTGATTTGATCAAAAGGAACCTAAAATATAGTCAAATTCATCTAAGGTCAACTTTGCCTGACGGAGTTGGAACCTAAGTTTCTTAATAATTTCGTATTTTATCACCGGAAAATTTAAGAAAAGTTTGTTAATGATCATATCAGTACCAAAGAACTGACTACTGATTTGATGATACCCTAGGGGACTATAGTGTTTTAATTGCATTAGTGTATACAATACAGATCTAGAGACAACATTTAATGATTTAAGATTGCTATTGTACATACCTGTTTCATTGATTTGGCTATTAGGCTTCCACGAGTAGGTGTATCTTTTAGATCTTTTTTATAACCTTTATTACATGTCGCTCCTTTATATGAGACTGCCAAAGAATCGGCCAAGTACTTATCTATTCCTTTGCCAATAAATCTGACAGCATCTATCATCATCGCTTTATCAATCTGAATCAATGATTATTTAATCAGAATACAAACGAGTAATCAGAATATTCAGGCCAAAATATAAAAGGTCATAACAGAGAAAAATTGAAAAGATTTTCTACATGAACCCTTCACCATAAACTATCAAATTTCAAGTATAATATTTGTTAATCCATCGAATCTATCGACAGCAAAGAAATAAAGATATGGAAGTTTAATGTATTACAAATCTAAAAGTCCGTTTGAGCCAATGAATTGACACATTCGAACACAAGCTTTCATTATGTATAATAATATCCGTCGTATGAAATTGATCCGCAAATGTGTTCGTGTGAACTTGCCAAATTAAGCAATTCTGGTTCAAAAACTTTACAACAGTGTAATAATATTCTTCACCAATGTCAGGTGAATGGAAAAGTTAACACATAATCTGCCACTTCTTAACACTTGTGTGTTGTCTTTTCGTTGCAACTGACATGCGTTAACATATCTATTTTAGAGTTAGTATGTATTCTAAGTAAACGTTTCTTCTTTTTCCTTTCTTTGTTGAATATCAGATAACTATACTAACCGTCAGTGGATTTAGGTGTTGGTAAACTTTTCGGTTAATGTCTGAATCTACTTCTTTAAAAGTTGTTGAGTGAGCGTTTAACATAGAAAAGCCAGTGATATTCACGCCACCATACGCAAAGGCGCTAAGGTCTAGTTCTTGTATTCCCTGAACCATTTAAAGTAAAATGAAAATATACATATCTATGACACAGTTAAAATGAAATATATGATACTAGTAATGGTAATGTAAGCTATTTTAAACGGTGCTAGTATTACAATCAATGCTACTTATCTTTAAAAAATGTGCCGTTTTATGTTTGATAACAAAATGAACAAGCAAAGTGTACCAGTCCTAATTTAGTTTGATTGAAAGTACAAAAATCTAATGCAAACATCGATGTTTTTTTTTCATTGAGGAATTCGCTTGGGAGTTTCAATATAGCTTTTACATTTGACTTTTGCTGTTTGCTGTTTAGTTTCAAATGACAAGGTTCCAAATTATTTATTTGACCTTAAACGACGTTTGCTGAATAATTTGAGTAATAAAATGCACTCAAAAACTATATAAATATGCTCTTGACTTTTTTTTATGATATTAGCGTGTTTTTTTTTTAAGTTTGAGAAGACCATTAGTTACTTTGATTTTTCATAAAATTTGTATTGAGATGATTTAGCCATGTTTACTGTCAAATCAATGACAAAATATCAAAATCTTCACTATATTTTGCAGGAATGTAGTTTGAAATGTATTTAAAGAAATTATGAAAAAAATAGAGTTATATGGGAAAAATTGTCTAATGTGATTAAACCGATAAAGCAGGAGCAGCTAAAATATTGAAAGCAAGAAGGCAGACATCACCAGCCAATAGTCATCCTTAATTTGTCAGAATAACTACTGGTATAAAGCAACAGTTTGTTATTGATTGACAAGCTATGAATACCTTATATAATGATAATGGATTGGTATTAACGTCCAGTGACAAATATTACATGCAGATCGGATAGGACGAGGCTATGTTAAAGTGGTATGAATATTTACTCAGCTTTGTATTAAACCAACACTCTAAGTCAATTTTTTTTAGGTGCCATTACAGAAGGTAACAACACTCCACAGGAAATATATGCCACCTTACCCGGACACATTATTCTGACTCAGAGCCGAACGGTCTTTGCGGGAATCGAACAAACGACCTATTATCAATAGGTAAAGAATTAAAGCTTTTAATAGATTTGGAAAACTAAATAAAAAAATACATTCTTACAAAACAAATTGTTATGACAAATTAAATAAAGAATTAAACTTACAAGTCCTCCAAGAATGTAGTGATATTCATCTCTGTTCATGCCAACGTTGATTATCTAGTAAAAGTGAAAATTGAAATGATTAAAATTATAATCTTTGACTGATATATAACAATGACTTAATTCATTTGAACCACTAATTATCAAGGTGATGTTGTTTATAGAGCCCGGAAACTTAGATACGATCCATGTAAACTCGTTGATCCTTTGAATATTAAACTTGTTATTGAAGAATATCAATTAAACAACGTAGTAAAATCTTTAAATATTGTTTCTATCGGTACTAACATTGATACTGTATTTGAAAAATTAAAACATAACTAAATATACATTACTTTATATGTACAGTTATGCGTAATCATGCTACCACATCTTGTTGATGATGTTTACTTGTCATTGCACATAATACAAACGTTGAAAAGCTAATAATCTAAACAGGACCTAAAGTAAGCAGAACAAGCACAAAGAATCAGAGTTATCATATGTATCATCCGCATTTAGTGACACCCTCGGAGACTATCAGTACACCAGCAAAGGTAACGACCAAGTGGTAGTTATATAATCAAAAGTTCAATCTTAAGTTAGTTGAGTAACCTGTTCTAGTGTTAGATTGAAAGCTTCTTTTGTAGACAAGTCTAGAATTATTCTCATATTACAGGCAAACTGTATGTCACTATCACAGTAACGATGTTTATCGACAGAACGTAAAACTGCATAGGAATCACTGATATTGACAATCCGTTTAGGTCTGAGTGAAAACGATCTAGTTCCTAAACTTTTCTGTGCTCTGTAGATTTCTTGAATTCTATGAAGACCTGCATGAAATAAATAACTCATCTTTGATTTACTTCTTTAGCTTTATAGCGTTTCGTTTTTTTTTAATTTGTATAATTCATTTTTGATCCAAAAATATGTATGTACTTATAAAAAGCCCCACAAACGAATCGTTATGGTAATCAGATCATTTTCCACACGTGTTAATACGGTAAGTGCGAATTCGGTGACAAGCTTTAAGTATATGAATCAGAGCTTGGTACCTTTGCATATACTCTGGGGTGCTTGGATTTTCTCTGTGTAAAAATAAGCAGTGACAGTGATGTCGATAAATCGAATAAAACAATAACATAATTTTTTGCATGAAGTGTGTAGAATACTTAAAGCCGAGGGAGTATAAATACAGTAACTACTTGATTACTTGAAGAGCTATCTAACCAATACTGAACTAAAGATAATAAAATACACAAAAAAAAACAGTGTAGAAAAGTGCAAGAAAAAGGAGGCTGTAAGAGTTTAAAGTAGTTTCTTCTTATTCAACTTCTATTTTGCTATGTTCTGTTAAGCATACTTACTAGAACCCAATTAATGTATTCAATTTAGACTTATACTGAGGATTTAGGGTTCGACATATTGTATAGACATGTGTATAATGCTTAAGACCGTGCGTTGAGCTCTTTACGTCGCTATAAAACCAGGTTTAATCCATCATTTTCTACATAAGGAAGTGACTGTACCAAGTCAGGAATATGACAGTTGTTTTCCATTCGTTTGATGTGTTTGAGCTTTTGATTTTGCCATTTGATAAGGGACTTTCCGATTCGAATTTTCCTTGGAGTTCGGTATTTTTGTTATTTTACTTTTTAGTAAATTCAACAGTTTTACTTACTTTCTTCTGAGTCGTAGACATAATACACAACTTTCCAACCAAAATATTGAATATAATCAATGATGGCACCAATAAAGGAAGGTGTCATGTCGAAAACATATTCAGATGTGTGATTGTATCCAGGTCCTCTTGGCAAGACAACAGGAATTTCAAGGTTACTCGACATCGACTCGTACACTTCCATAGATTGTTGTGACGAATCCGCAATAAACAGTATAATGTTCTTTGGTAGTAAATGACATACTAAAAGATATAAGACTTAATATGAGATTAGCTTTAGATATCTAAATGATGTCCTTTCGTATGTTTTATTCAACTAAAGTAAGTAATAAAATGTTGTTAGGGTTGTGCAGACAAAAAGTTTGATAAGACGAAATAAAAAAATTAACAACATTGAGAGTTTTTTTTATAATGGGCATCATTTATTTGCGCATAATTTAAGAAAAGAAGCATATGTGTTCTTTTTGCAATAAAAAATTTCAAAAACATAATTATGTTGTGTGAGCTTTAATTAATTATGTGCACATAAACCACAGTTATATAAATTGAAAATTAGTCTTTATGGTACATAAGGAATATATTTTTTGTCATATTTTCTTTGAAATCAATTGAACCTTGAAAACACAAGGACGAAAGGTGAAAGGTGAAAGGTAAATAAGTCATCAAAAAGATATAGACCAATACCTAAACTAAATTGAAATTCGAGGTGTTATACATGTACATATACATGCAACTTTTCATAATTAATATATTTAGTACAAATAAGAACGTCTATGATTACTTTGCCTTGTTAGTTGGTAGCTGTTGTCTATGTCGGTGACATTATGTCCTTTACTCTGTAAAATCACACTATTGATATCCTGTCTCAGGCTTTTGTCACTGTTGAATGTTTTAATGGCATACTTGAAGGCATCATCCATTCCTTGTCGGTCCTGGTAGTGCAGACTAACATCCTGTATCAGTCCTATGTCTAATGTGAGAAAAAATATTGAATTTGAAAAAACAAAAAAAAAACAAAAAAAAAAAACACGAATTACAATAGTAAAGATAACGTGGCCTTTATAAACCTAATAGTATTTAATATGTGCAAGAACTAGCATTTTTATAAATGGAATTCGCTGGTAAAGATTCTTAGCTATGCTGAAAGCTTCAAGACGCCATATCATCACCTTGATAATACGCAACGACAAAACTACAATACAGACACACCAATTAATATGCTGCTTACAAGTAATCGCAAAGCCTACGTGTTTTACAAACATTAAAATATATTTGTATCCAACACCCAGTTACTACATGTACATTGGCAAGAAGCTATAACAATATCACAGAATGCTTTCACGCGTATCGTAAGCAGCAAAAAATACTTTTAAAAACACTGTGCGGGACAAATTTGCAATTCCAGAATTGGCAAATCTGACTTTGTCGGTTTACAAGATATCAAAAATATTTTTGGCCCAAGTGATAGATAATCAAAAAAATTAAAATTTCTCCATATGTCCCAACATGTCACCATTGTCACTGTTGTCACCACAGCTGATTAAAAGTACATTTACATCGAATATTCCCATGGGAAAAGTTAAAGTTTCCATCGGAAAAAGTACTTTTCCCATGGAAATTTTAAAGTTCCCATGGGAAAAGACGAATACAGAGAGTTCCCATGGGAATTTAACTTTTCCAATGGGAACAGTTTTTCTTCCCATGGGAACAATTTTTCTTCCCATGGGAACAATTTTTCTTCCCATGGGAAAATTTGTCTACCTATGGGAACAATTATGCAGGATTTATGTTAAATTATTGCAGTATGCAGGTTTTCTACAAAATGTCAATATGGTTTCATATCTAAAGCTGCTCTCAACATGCAACTTCCATAAAAACTCTGATTATCCCGTTAAATATGAAGCAATGGCAAGTAAGTTTTTAAATAAGTTGTGCGTGTATGTTGTGAATACAAATTTCTATTTTTGAACTTATTGGAAAATAGATAATAAATGTTTAACAACTTTTTTCCGGTGCTTAGAAAAACCCCATTTTAAATTTTTTTTTTCAAAATACAAGACCCATAAAACAAAAACACTATAACCATGATAACATGCTGAGATAATATATTCATTTACAATCTGTATACACGTGCGTAATTAACGGGTTCTGGTTGAATGAACATGAATTCCGATCGATTACACACAGATGACGATCAATAGAGTGTGGCACGTGTCGTTAAAACATTTACATGGTAATTACTAAAGATGTGATTATATAATTTGGAATTATTGTTTTATTTTTTTAATTTAAAATAACATAGCCTACTTTTATATTTTTATGTACTTTGTGGCAACTGTATCATCACATCAAGTCCCTAGTGCGTATTATTGAGGTGGTCATTTGTGGTATTTCTACAGACGTCTTTAGGGTATTTCAATATTTTGATTCCTTTCGTATTATATTTTGTATAGGCAGTTTATGTAGGTGAATTACAAGAACAGAAACAAAGTAAATTGAAGTCATATTATTAGTCTCCGTTGTATTGTTTTAAAAACTTAACATTGACATGGATTAGTGATTTCTGTGACATATACATGTACATGTACCAAATGTACAAGTTTGTTACTTTGAGGTGTTTTTTGTGTGACTTATCTTCGTTTTTGTTTTGTTTTTGTTCAAACACATTTTATTTTCAAAAGTAGCATGTGGGATTGAACACAAAATACATAAGATAATAACGAAAAACAAAATAGAATAAGTGTTGTAATACAAACTATAAACAAAAACGAAAACGCAATATAATATTTTTGTAATATGAACTGGCGTGAAAAGTAGGAAGTCAGAATTAATTGTATGCGAAGTCACAGTCTGAATATTTGTGTAATTCTGATATAAGATTGCACAGATTCAAAAGTTGCTTTACTTTGCTGAAATGTATAAAGGTTACCGTGAACAGCTCAATTGGTATAACATATCTTTTTAAAATCAAAAAACAATATTTCTCTTGCTTCATTGTGAAATGGGCACTCGAAAAAATTGTAAGTACAATCTTCAACAGCATGGCTACAGCTGCATGCGGTATTTAGTTTAATATTAACACAGATCTGCATTTAAGGAGCTTCTCATACTTCTGAACCATTAATAATATTAAGTTTTCTAACACCACAACTAAAGAAGAAGGGTGGATGTTTTTAGATTTCAGAAAGTCCATATGTCGGGGTTTAAAATTCCATTCAATAGAAGTAGATGGGAAAAAAAGATGTTTTGGTTATATCTAGTCTATGACGCGGGGTACTACATAGTTGTTACTAATTCGTAAATCATAATTTGAATTTGACCAATAATTGGGAGCATTACCAGTTGTTTATGAAATACAGTTCTCGTGCAATGAATGATATTTAATTCCAACCAAATATTTGAGGAATTAACAATTTATTGAGATATTTTCCATCGGTAAATTTGAAAAATGTAAGTTTGTACTTCTTGTCAATAATAATGGATATTTCAAAACATTTAAATATTAATTCACAAAAATGAACGCACTTGCCGATCGTTGGTTTAGAAAGATAGAAAGATTCGGAACTAAAGATAGTCACAATTAAAAATATGTATTTTGAAAAAAAGACAAAAACCGCCAGAACAGATCTGATTTAAATCCAGGGTCCGTATATGCATATGGTACTTAAGTTAAGATTTGACCCGAACGGACGGATTTTTCTACATGTTCTACAATAAATTTATACTACGATTGGATATTGTTGTATGCATATATGTCCAGATCTATATAGAACTTACTTTGCTTCGTCGAAAGTACGAATATAGAAAAATCACAGATTTTTATTTCAACTAGAACGTTCTAGAACAGTTAAAGAAATCATTACAATTGTTAGTTATTTTGTACATGTATAAGTATAATGCGAACCTTGTGAAATAGCACGTGAAATCCCAACTAAGCGTGAATTCTTTGGAAAAGCGACGGTTCTATTAATACCTATTGTCAATTTCAAGTTCTTTTTCGACATGCATTGTAATATATGTCACTGAACGTTAAAATTCCATCATTAATTTCGTCTTCGTCAAATATTGCTGTTGGTTTCTTTTCTTTTTTTTTATTACATATACATGAATACACCACAAGTTATTCCTATGTAATCTCATTTAGATATTTAATGCAAAGTAAATTTTAAAGATGAAAGTCGTATTAGTTCGATAATGCTTCAAACTAAATATAAACTGAGAATATATGTATCACTGCCATATTCCGAATCCCGGACATTCATTTGTGTAAATGAAGAAAAGATAACAATGATCGGTATCTGAGTGAATCTACGTCTCAATCAAGCTTCATAAAGATATTACAGAATATTCAAGATTTACAACTTTTCTTGAATATGATTGCCAATGAAATAAACTATGCAGGAGATTTCAAATTAGCCCAATTAATTTGTGTGTGTACTTTAACAACTGAAACCGTAATTCTGCTGTAGTTCACGTCGATCGTATCTGTAACAGGAAGGCGTATGGTAACCATACTACCTTACTAAGTTCAAAAGTACATAACAACCCTTTCTTTGTGCATTATACGCTCAGGAACATACATCTTGCTATTTTGCATGGATTGGTAGCAAATGTTACTTTTCAACTGTAGTCCTTAACCAAAAGCGTTGTTTTTTTTCCATCTGACAAACTTAATTTTGGATCAAGTGATCATACAAGAACGGAGGCTAGGATTTATAATTCGGCTAGTCTGGATGACCTCGTGCAATACCCCCGCTCCCTATTCATTATAGTTTTTACATAAATCATTTAAATTTTAGATCCTTCAGTTTGCATATAAATATGATATTTAAATTTCGTATGGCTTAGTACAACGTGCAAAACATTTTATTTGATGTCACTAATAGTAAACATATAAAATGAAACAATAACTTACTACTAGTATACCAATATACACTTTTGTTGTATGATTACACAAACCGAAATCACTACTAGACGAGGGGTTGACACGCTCAAATTAACAAAATTGTGTTTCAAAGAACCAATGCACCAAATTGATTTTATAGGATTTAGTTTAACATTTTAACCTGTTCAAGAATGTATTACTTGACAAGAACAATTTAAATGTAGGACAAAATCGGCTTACAACACGAAATTTGTTCAAAGAATAGTACCAAGCATGTGACAAAATGACGGGTATGTAACAGAGGTATCGCAATTGCAGATGGATTGGTGGATAGTAACTGTTTGTTCAACGTTCAGTGACAAGAATCTCATGCATATTGCAAGACCAAACTAAGTTGGGCAGACGACAAAAGTGAAATTGGGACAAATTCGTTGTTCGAAATTTATTTTCAAGTGCTATTTAGGAAGTCAGACATGTATATGGAAAGTAAATTTTACTATTATTTATTGAATAAAATAAAAAGATCAAAACCTCGAAAAGAAAATAAACCCGGTGAATGACACTCCTTGTTGTTGAATTTGGGTTTGGCTGACCTTAATTGATATTACGTTTCAAAACAATTATTCAAATTAAATATACAATTATTTTACTTTTTTTTTGTGGGGAGGGGGGGGGGAGAGTCATTGACCCTAAAACATAACAACAATACAGGCTTATAGTATTTTGAAGCATTTTTGAAGCATTCAAATATAATGAAACGTATGATAAGGCAAGTCGGCCCAAAAATGATTGATATTTCAAAGAAAAATGTATAGTGTGTTCTAGAGGAGGATCGACACTCTGCACACGGCACGCAGATTTGTCTTATATTATCGATCGGTCGCGGTGGTATTGTGTCATTTATATCAAACTACTCGTGGTGTGGACATCACCGTTAATGACACCTGGACAAGCAAAATTTGTTGAATCAATTAAAAAAAAGTAATATACAGAAGAGCTGATCATGCAATATACATATACTTTGTACATACATAATAAACAAATTTGTTAGTTATTTCTTGGCAATAAACATATTTTATTATTCT